TGGCGGTTATATGAATTTATCGGACTTTGATGATAGAAAATCGAATTAGCAAATGACAGTACAAAAAGGGTAAAAAAAAGTAGCATGGAAACACAAAAAATTGCTATTCCATTATGAGGACGTAATGATACCTGACTGTATTCATCGGGATGGTTGGGACTTTCATACGAACGCATGTGAAGGTGGTTCCGATGCATGACTTGTTTGTGTTTCTTCAGACCTGAAAAATACACTGCTACATAAAAATCCAACTCCACTTTCAAAACAAGGTATTGGCAAGAATGTTATGGGTAACACTATCATTTGTCTCTGCCTAAAACACCAACAATTCTGCTAGTGTATGGATATGAGTAAAACAGACATAGACTGGTCTCTACCAAAAATCGAATAATCTTTACTCCACCTGACGAACTGGTAGGACTTTTAGAATAATCAACAACAAAAATCTGCAAAGTAGTCAGCACAATAATGAAAACTCACCTACTATGCTGCCAAACTTTCGCCCACATTCCCCACATTCGAGGCGTTCATCTCTAAAATCACGCACAATATAGAGAACTTAACCATTTCTAATAAACAAAAATTCCTCACAAATGGTAGTCATAAAAGTGTCGCTGAAGTTGATGCTTTGAACGAAAATTTCTTGCCGCACACCATGCACTGATTCGGTACCTAGAAAACTTCCATCAAAACATCAGTATTCCTACAACTACGTAGTAGAACAGAAACAGGAGAGGGTCATGTAGGATGAAGAAAGCACGTGTTCTCACTGCACATGCTTCCTATAGTGTCAAATAAAGCAAGGGAATTACATTAGAACGGATTATACCAACTCCTACAGTTGGCTTTCCAAGTCTTTCCCAAATTCACATGGACAATGTGATGCGACTCGGAAGCCTACAAGGAATGATCATCCTTTCCAGCACCACTCATCAGAGAGAATTGGTCATTTCTTCTCAGATAAACATTTGAATAAAAAAAAGGCCATTGTCAGACCTCCCTGTTCCTCTAACTTTGGATTCGCCCCTGTCTAATAAGAAAAATCCAGTTTCGACACAGTGCTCTCAGCCATTCGATTTACATCAATGGCTTCTTCACTGACTTCTTCGCAAGTTCACATCTCCACTTTGATATCGTCCTTAACCTTGATACTTATCGTGAGATTTACGCGACTTCCAGTGACTCGTTTTCCTCTGTTCCTTAGACATGGCAGCTTTCATCTCAAAATTCTGTCCCTTATGAGGAGCAGTCGCGGAGTTCCTGCGCACTGACGGAAACGATGGTGACTGCGTACCAAACACTAAACAGTCATTTCTCAATAATATCATCATGGGCATGACGACATCTCTTCCGACCACAAAAAAGGAAAATACAGCTCCGTCGGCTGCATGCACTTCAAGCATCATCCACTGTAGAATGAAAGAGAAGATAATGACATGAATTAACAGCTGTGGGTCCATGCTATCGTCAAGGAACAAAAGCTGGGTTGAGATGATTATCCTTTGACTTGAATGCTCAACGAAATGTAACAATGAACTCACCTTTTCCTCGTGAGAGCGCAGTTTGTCATGAGGGGTCAAATCGGTTCCAGAAACATTAGCTGACGAAGAGGTATTGAGCAAATCGGTCGCATAACTGTAGAACCGAAGATTATTCGAGTCTAACTACTTGGCAACAAAAGAACAAATCACTTATGTTTTCCCCATTTTGGGAGTTTTTTTCGCCTCAAAAATAGAACTTTTGGATTTAATGACAGCATTCTATGACCAAAAAAAAAAATATCAAACTACAGTATCGCAGATTTTGTCATGAATCTCTGCTGATTTTTTCGGTGGAAAATAAGATTACAAAAGAAGATGGAACGACCAATTTCGAATCGAAAAATAGAGTGAAAAATTTTATTTGGAATCTTCAAAAGATAAGCAAACTTTCAACAGATTCGTTCATTATTATTTGAGCCAACTTGTCATGTGGTCTGGTAAGGGCTGTTGTACAACCCGAGACACGTGTTTCGTCCTTACAGACTCGTCAGTCGGGCAGAACCCGTCTTCTTTCGATCTTTTTATAGTCAGTTCTCTCGGGAGCCTTACACTCCTTATAGAGAGTTATGGAAGACGAACGCGTTACATTCTATGCCAAGCGAATTTTCACCTAAGATAGAGCGCTTGCGAAGGAAAGGGGAGCGGAGAGCAAGTGGCTAGTGATGCTTGGCGTAGCTCCACGCAGGATTGATCCTAACCTCCGCTCCATTCTCCAACAGCTTCTAATAATCAATAACGAACGAGTCACAGAACTCACCAAAACCAATTCTCGCCAGTTTCTTCCTTCATGGTGGGTGAATCCTCGCCGAAACCTTCCATCACACTGAATGCCTGGCCGATTTCACATTGCGTTTCGGTCCATTTCCTTTCGGAAGGAGTTGCCTCAAATATTGTGACTTATGAAGCTAAAGCGATATCGAATTCGAGATAGAATGGCTTGTAACTTTGTCTCTTGGTGGCATAGGGTGCAGTCAATCCACTCCATGATCTACTCAAAGGACCAACACTGTTGGCTAAAAGTCTAGAACCTCTTGCTGATGACGACATAACCAATATCGCAAGTCGCGCGCGATTTTCGTTCTTCAACAAGGATTTTTTTCTATTTCGGGAAATACTTTAATTTTTTTTTGTATCACTCTGGTATAAATGCCATCAAGGTTAATCAAGAGCGCTGAAGCGCAGTGGTTAGAGGTGCTCTGTGTCGCACACGGAGTCGATGTTTCAATCTCGTGCTCGTCGGCCAAAGCCATCTTTTTCCTTCGCTGGGTAAATGGGTAAATCGCTTCAATCAGTAAGCCATATTTCAAGTTCGTATACTTTTTGTGCACATGAATTTCCTGTATGGGAAGAAAACTCCGGAAGTAAAAAGTAAATTTATGTTCGCTCTTACATCGCGCTTTAAGGACCTTTTCGATAACCAGTTCAAGCATGAAATTCGCCAATATTTGAGCAATCGAATGGGCTAAATGTTGTCCGATAAAAAAGCGATCCACAGACTTCATCCGAGCAAATAAGGCAAACAGAGTGTGAAACATTATTTTAGCCTTGCTGCTATATCGTACTGCAGAGACCTTTCTGAAAATCAAGCAACGTGTCAAAATTGCCGAGATTTAAGCTTTTAAATAACCACTCAAATTGTGGATAAAAAGCTTTGTTCGGCGCAAAAGGACCTCCCAAAATCTGAGGGTACAAAATAACCCTCATCGACCGCAAAGGATAGAAAATACACTCACCTCAATTTCGCAATTCCCACTTTTTCTTTCCTGCGCTCCACACTCAGTTTCGTCTTCCATAAAAGTCACCGAACAATACCTAAAAATATAAAAATCTTGGATACAAAGCCGATGAATTCCTGAAATTTTCAAGACGAACTGCAAAACGAATTAGCGAGTGATGAAGACAAGAATTAAAAACAGATATTCAGCCATACTGATTCACTAATAGACCACAGAGTTGTGCTCACTGATTGAACCGATTTATCCATTTACCGAGCGAAAAAAAAAATAGATGGCTTGGTGGCCCACGAGGACGAAATCGAAACATCGACTCTGCGTGCGACACAGAGCACCTCTAATCACTGCGCCACAGCGCTCTTGATTTAACTCGATGAGTTAAAGCATCTGTCGATGTCCCATGCAAGAAGCAGCAAAACGAACAATAAACTGCCAAAGTAACTATAAAAAACACCAACAACTTATGAACCCACTTTCCCTTGACCATTTGACTTCCGCGGACCCAACTCCAATATTTTAATGCGACGACACACAACTTTACAGGGTCCAGTCGTCAAGAATATAAGCTTCCGTATTGTTCTTAGTAGTGTCGTCGGGTTTATTTACCTCTAGGGCGACTTCAAGCTGTTTGTCTATGGTCTGGGAACGATCAGGCCTGGAGGCCAAACACAAGGAACTTTGAGGAGGTTGGTGCCTTTAACGAAGAGTACTAACAGCCTTACCCAGTACTGAGAATAAGAATTTATTTACGGAAAACCCGTTGGGACTCTTCGACTTCACCAAGATTTTTTTTACCATTATTCTGGCATTGTTATGATTATATAATTATACTCCAAGGATGCTGAGTAATATGCAACACACTGGACCCCTGGCAGGGATTGAACCCGCGCTTCACGCTCACCGGGGACGCGTGCTAACCGCTAGATCGCGGAGACCATGGCTCCGTGAGAACTTCTTCCCAGTAGAACCCCGTATGGATGAAAGGCAGGCTCTACTACCAGCCTGAGGTTCAAAGTTTTGTATATCACTCAGCTTTCTTAGATATTCGATTTCTGCTTGTCTCAAGGCATATAAGAACCTCACCAGGAAAGCAGTTAATTCTGAAGAATAAAGGATAAAGTTCTCAGCTCTTATTATTCCTTTACAATGACTTACGTTGACCTACCGCTGTGTCACGACAGTGCTGCTTATCCTTCCAACCAGAGAGCATGGATTCGCGCGAGAGAATATAAATCCGACGACATTACTAAGAATAACGTGGAAGCTTACATTCTGAACAAGTAGGTGCTGTAAAGTTGTGCGTCGTCGCATTAAAACAGCTGGGGTTGGGTCCATGGAACTCAGAGGGTTAACTCCAGCATTAAAATCGATCGCTTGTTCGTTGTTGATTGAGCCAAAAACACAAATTTCGTAAAGAAAACACTACTCTTCCGTCAACGACACCCTATTTCAGCTCCTTGAAGGAATTGTTTTTAATCTTTTTGAGATTTCTAGTAGTCATTAGACAGCTTGAATCTCGACGATTTCAATGCTAAACTTGGTTTCAACTTCTATGCGAGATTTTTATTATTACATTTGAGGATTTCTCCGCTTCGAAAGTGATAGCATGCGCTCACTTCGCTGAAGAAACTCGGATTCGATATCAGCCTGATGTCCATAGTTTTGTCTATACTTCAACACTGTTAGCTGTATATACTGAGTGATGCAGAGTGATGTGCAAAAGTTTTGCGTCGGGCGGTACTCCAACCCGCACCTCACTCTAACAGGGAGCGAGTGCTCTAAACCGTTGCACTACTGACGCCCGTGTTGCCACCGCTTCATAACACTGCTAAAAGCGGTCAAATAAAAAGATTTCTATAGGCTGTATCATGATAAAACATGCTCTGAGCCGTTTGTGAGGTCTAAGTGGTGCACAGGCACCTGTTTCGCCCTGCGGACTCCTCAGTAGCACAGTCCCTTGGTTCAGCCGATCCCTTGAGGCTGCACTCCTCTATGAAGGAATCGGCGAGGAGTAATAAATCACCGCAAGTTAAGTGATAGAATCCCCTGACACTGCAGAGACTAGCAGCCGAGCTTGTGGCTGTTGAAATATCAGGAGATTCTATCACTTGACCTGCGGTGATTTATTACTCGGCGTCGATTCCTCCATAGGGGAGTATAGCCGAACCAAAAGATCTTATATCATTACCAGAAAGTTATGGTTTTGTGCGGGGTCTGTAGAAAAGCTGTCGAATGGAGAATTAATGCCTATATAGTTATAACAACATAACCTTGTAAACATCGTGGATTTGCCAGCTCAAAGTAAAAAAAATCAACAAATGTCGCCCAAAAACAAAAAAAAAGATGTTTTGAATAGACGAGAGCAGGAGCAGATCAAACAGAATCCGTGAGCGCTGGAGGGACACGGAGAGTTCCCGGATACCAGGGACCAGAATATAGATCTCCGCGGCCATTGAAACCGCTCTGAAACGTGGGCCAATGGGGCCGAGACCCTTCACTGCAAACGGGCTAAAGGGCAATGACGAGTGCGTCCGCTATGGGGCGTGGAGGCAGCGACAGAGAGGCAGAGCAGCAGAGGGGCATAGAAGCAGAGCGCTCTGGTGGTACGGTGCATCACCTGTGATTGTGCAAAGCAGGACCTACGTGAAGAGACCAAAAAAGAAAGACAAGAGAGTAGTGAGCGAGAGCGCATGTGGCGCAGTGGTTAGAGGTGCTCTGCGCGGCACACAAGGTCGATGGTTCGATCCCGTGCTCTAGCTCACCAAGCCAGCCGTCTCTCCGAGGCCGCTAAAATGCTATCAGACTGTTTGCAGACTTGTCTGGGAGGATAAGCAGCACTGACTCGATATAGTGGGTGGTCATCACGATTCATTGTGACGGCCAGATATGCATTCTATCACCTCACACGGAGTTGAAAGTTGAAGACGATTACATGTCGTATCAATCAGGTATTGATCATCGTCGAGAGCTTCATCCTTGAGGGCTTTTATGTGATCGATGCAAAGCGTAGACTGACGAATCACATGAAAATCGAAAAAACTTATCTTGATTAGCAGATGCGAGGTTGGTAAATTAGTCGTAGAAGTTCGGCTGACGTTTCGCCGACGCGCCTTCTTCAGAGCCTGGGCTTATGTAGTATTAGTCTATTTGAATGATTCGGATGGTCTTATTTATATGCTGCCTAGGTCAAGTTAGAAGATCAAACGAAGAAAGGGCGCGAGATCTCGTGTGATGGTGACGCACTCGTCCTTCCGGTTCATTTCGGGATTTTGGGCGTTTATCCAAAATGCCTCAAGAGTTTTGCGCGTGCATGTTTTTGATTCCTGCGCTATGATTGTGACAGTCCATCAAAATCGTTGTTGTTGTGTTTTTGTGCCCTATGTAAGCCTAAAGGTTTCGTTTTATCTATTTTTGATTTACTATCTAGATGTTCTTTCATGCGCATGAAAAGTGGTCTACCCGCTTTGCCTATATATTTTTTTCCCGCATGTTTTACATGTTAGCAAATAAATTGTGCCCGATCTCACACAATCCCCCTCTTTTCCGTTAGGGCAGATCATACAGTTTTTGGTGTTGCACAATCGATCATAAAGTCTATTTCGGATTAGCTGATGTCGTAGGGTTGGAGGTGGGATTTCAATAACTACCACGGAATTTTCAAGACCGCATTTTTACAGGCACCTTTTAACCGCCGAAACTCAGCCGAACATCATCGACTAATTTACCAACCTCGCGTCAGCTAATCAAGATAAGTTTTTTCGATTTGCAAATAACAATTAATTATGCCGAGGTTTATAGAAAGTCGAACTTTTGAATTGTTGCGATATGTACCAGCAAGATATTCTCGACTTGTTAAGGACGTATTGTCATTGAGACAAAAAATTGTCTTAATGCGACAAAAGGTTAACTTTCTTCGCCGCTGCCAAAAATACAAACTTATTCCTAGATTTATAAGATCTAGGAAGCTATACTTATGCGGCTTACCAAAGGACTCTGCAAAGATACTGAGCATTGAAGCACAACTGCTGCGCCTCTCTTTAAGATGCGTCCAAACGAAATGTTCTCCTACATAAACAAATGTGTGTCAAATGGACATTATTGTGCTCAGTATTTGGAGAAACGCCTTTGGGCAAGAATAGTAAACGAATCAGTAGCTATTTGTAATAATATCCGGCGCAATATTAAAAATGATCTAAAAAGAAAGTTTGACTGCCTTCAATCAAAATCAAGACGTAAAAGCGTCGATTTCAGCGTTAAAACCGATAAATCGGGAAATCAAGGCGCTTTAGAGAGATCAAGAGTCACTGTGTTAGGTGGCGGAACGCTTCCGGATGATGCACGTTCATTATTAAAATTGGGTCCAAGTTTTGCACCTAGTCAACCCATTTCTAAATTAACCCTGCGCAGGATCGTATGCAGTCTACAAGAACTTCAAAATCAACTGCGCTACAAGGCTAGATTAGAAGAGTTAGGTAACGAAAAACAAACAGGGAACTACCACCCATTCCATTCCCACGAGTTTTTTACAAGGAGATAAAAACCAAATAGCGAACTCGACCCTAATTTTCGCGTTTTTTCAAACGAAGTTCTGCAAATACTCAACCACTTTCGGCATAGACAATTAAGCTCCAATCTGACACACAAACAAAAACAAGGTTTGTCCCAATTCAGGGAGCTCGTAAGATCAAAAACTATCCGTCTATCCGTAAGTGATGAAGGTGGGGAATTTGTGGTAATTCCAAATCAGCTGGATGTCGAAATAAAGGAGAAACATCTTCAGGATATCTCCCTCTATCGCCCATCCTCTGAGAAGGAATATGAACTCCAATGTAAAAATTTTAACAAATAATGGGTCAACACGGCAAGTGCAGCGGGTTTGAAAACTTCAGTTATCTCTCGGCTCAAGAGCAATAATCCTATTTGTTCGGTCCCATACCTTCCCATAAAAACACGTTTAGCACCTAGTCTTGCCATCGCTTTTATGTATAAGGTGGAAGCTCCGGGTCTCGTTCACCGCCCATCGCTCTACTGCCGGTATATAAACGACTGTTTCATTGTCTGTTCCACATAAGAGGAAATGGACAAATGTTTTGAAGTCTTCAACGGACAGTCAGGGCATATAAAATTTACGCGAGAAAGTCCAAACAGGAGCTGGCTTCCATTCTTAAACATCCAAATAAAGCTTTTGGACAGTGGCTGTAGTACAAAATGGTATCGAAAACCAAGTAACAAAAACATTTTGGTCAATCACCTTTCCTCTCATCCTTTACACATGAAAAATCGCTAATGGAGAACATGTTTCGAACGGTTAAAAATGTGTGCACAGGAGAAGAGGAAAGGAAGGAATCATTAGACTTGGCACAAAAAATTGCCATTTCCAACTTCTACAAAACATCTGCTACACGGCAATATTTAGAAAGTGGAATTAGTTCCCGAAAGAACAATACTCCGCACCTGAATAAAGTTCCCTTCAAACTGCCATTTATATCAAACGAAATTAGTAGCGCGGTAAAAGGTGCCTAAAAAGATGCGATCTTGAAGACTCCGTGGCAGTTATTGAAATCTTACCTCCCACCCTACGCCATCAACTGATCCGCAATAGACTTTATGATCGATTGTGCAATACCAAAAACTGTATGATGTACCCTAACGGAAAAGAGGGGGATTGTGTGAAATCGCGCACAATTTATTTACGAACATGTAAAACATGCGGGGAAGAATATATAGGCGAAACGGGTAGACCACTTTTCATCCGCATAAAAGAACATCTAGATGGTAAATCTAAAATAGATAGAAGGGAACCTTTAGGTTAACATAGGGCGCAAAAACACAACAACAACGATTTTGATGTGACTGTCACAATCCTAGCGCAGGAATCAAAAAACATCCACGCGCAAGACTCTTGAGGCATTTTGGTTAAACGCCCAAAATCCCGAAATGAACCGGAAGGACGAGTGCATCACCATCACACGAGATCTCGCGCCCTTTCTTCGTTTGATCTTCTAACTTGGCCTAAGCAGCATATAAATAAGACCATCCGAATGATTCAAATAGACTAATACTACATGCGCCCAGGTTGTGAAAAAGGCGGGTCGCCGAAACGTCAGCCGAACTTCTACGACTAATTTACCAAACTCGCGTCAGCTAATCAAGATAAGTTTTCTCGATTTTCATAACAATTAATTATTAATTAGGTTTACAGAAAGTCTAACTTCTGAATTGTGACAAATTACAAGTGAGCAGCAGTATTCGTCAGTTGAGAGGGCTATGGCCGAGTGGCTATGGGCGCTCAGCGGGATTGGTCTCACCACTCTCCAACAGTCAATTACGAACGCTCAACGGAACGCCTTTGCCTGGCTATTACAAAAATGCAAACTTCTGCGATGTTCGTGACGAAGAAACGCACAACAAAAAGATGTTAAGTGAGTGATCTGTAATGAGCTCGTGACCTGTAATGAGTTCGATTATAAGCGAAGTGCGCGATCAACAAAATTATATATACATTGGATTAATTAGAAGAGCTAGTAGCGACAAGCACGTTGAAATTCTGCGCGGTTGGCCTGTGGGTGCGGCGTGCTCAGTTGACACTGTGTAGTTTTCTAATGAAACTTATACTTTCATTATTATATGAGCGAACTTGTCATATGGTCTGGTAAGGACTTTTGTACAGCCCGATGCACGTGTTTCGTCCTTGCAGACTCGTCAGTTAGGCAGAACCCGTCGTTTTTCGATCTCTTCTTGTCATTTCTCTCAGAAGCCCTACTCTCTCTACAGAGAGTTATCGAAGACGAACGTTCTACA